AAAAGTGCCCCCCCTTACTTCCCCCACTAAATCCTCCTGGGCCCTGGCGTAAGCAGCTAAAGCCCAGGCAAGCTTGGGGAAGGGGGGGCACTGGGGGGGCACCCTGCTGCCAGCTCCATCTGTGCCCCCAAGTGCCTGGTGCAGCAGCACCAAAGGCAGGGGAGGCAGGTGGCAGGCAGGGGTCTTGTCCCTTGTCTGTCAGGCCTCCCTGCCTGCCCCCTCATCTGTTCATGGCAGCCACTCCTGGGTAAATCACCCCCCACCTCCCCAGGGTGCTGGGCGGATGCTGCCGTGGGCAGGAGCCTCCCAGGGCTGGCAGCTCCCTTTTAAGCCCCTGTGGATTACCCTGGACTTGGGTGCATGCCAGGAGGGGTAGGAGGAGGAAGAGGAGGATGAAGAGCAGGCTGGCCGGCTGGGGACATGGATGTCACTACCTTGGGGGACCTACCTGTCCCTGAACACAGCCCCAGGGCTCCCTGGGCACCCTCTGATGTGCATGGGGATCCCATCAGGAGTGATGAGTGGGCTCCAGCAAGACTGGCACTCACCCATCCACAATCCCCAAATGTACCATCCCTCAGTGGCTACATCTTCCCTGCTGTCACCCCCCAAACCTGTGTGGGACAGCAGCCATGGAGGTAGGGATGGGGGAAGGAAGTGGGAAAAGTGGAAAAGAAGCAAGATGAAGGTGGCAGGAAAGCAGTGGCCGAGCTTAGGGTTTTATTTGGTCTCAAGAGAAGTGGGTGCTGGTGTGGGGCAGTGCAGTGTGAGTGCCATCTGAGCACCCGGGTTGGCACAAGGGTGAATGAGCAGGCAGAGGGGTGGGTGGGCTGGCCACATCCCCCTGCCCTGTGGTTCCTTCCTGCTCACTTCAGCTGCTGCAGGAAGGCCAGGAGTCCACGGTGCCACTCATTGGGCTTGTCCAGGTAGCAGGCGTGTCCTGCACCCTGCAGCATCAGCACCTGGTGCTCAGGGAGGTGCTGCAGGTTGTTCAGGCTGGTCTGCCCCAGCTCTGCATCCTGGTCCCCGTACACGATCAGCGTGGGGGTCTGCAGAGGGGGAAAGCAGCCTGAGCCTTCAAGTGTCACTCAGGCACTTGCTCCTCCTTGCCAGGGAAACCCTGGAGGGGAGTCACTTGCCCTTCTCCCCCACCCAGTATGAGAAAGGGAAACAGAAGCTCAGGCTCCTGGGTCTCCAGTTGTCCCTTCTTTACCTCCCAGTACCCCACATTTACATTCCTTCACCATCAGGTTCTCCTCTTTCAGTGGCAACAGGGTTTCTGGCCTGTTTGGCCTTTCCCCTGCACAATCCTGGTGCCAGGGTCCCCTCTGCCCCATCTCCTCCCCCAAGTGCCCTTCCAGGCCGTACTTTGATCTGGGCATACTGCTCCGCCGTGAATTTCTCAGTGCAGATGGGTGCCACAGGTACATAGGCCTTGAACAGCTGGCTGTGCTCTAAGAGGAAGGGCAGCGAGTACATGCCACTGAGCGATGGGCTGATCACCACAGCTGGACCCAGGTGCAGAGCCTCTGAAACTGCCTTCAGGAACGCAGCCGGTGCTGGCTGGCCCATGGATGCTGGGGCCACAGCGTCCTTCGAGCGGCCCAGCCCTGAATTGTGCAAGACACAAGTGGCCCTGTCAGGCTCCACACCGCCTCAATGACGGGGAGAAGCCAGCACAGCACAGCCCAGCCCAGCATGACACTGTGGTTGCCATCCTGGCACCACAAACCAGTGCCTACCCTGCCTGACTCCAGGGCTGCGCTCAGCACGCCTTACCTGGCAGGTCGATGGCCACGGCTCGGTAGCCGTTCTCGGCCAGCGTGGCCAGTGTCCCCACCTGCAGCCAGGTCTCGGAGGAGAAGCGGATGCCGTGCAGCAGCAGCACGGTCAGCCGTGGTGCTGCCTGGGCTGGGTCAGCCCGGCGGTAGAAGAGGCTCTGTCCCTGCACGGTGACGGTGCTCTCGGTGATCCGCGGGCCGGCCATGCCTGGGGGCCGGGGGGCTGTAACGTGGGGCAGAGGTGGGAAGGGGAGGGCTGACGGGCCTTCTGCCAGTGTCAGGCCCGGTGGTGGCAGGAAGGCAAAAGGGCTGTGAGGGGTCACACTGGCATCATCTTCACTGTGGTGGCACCACCGGGGTCACTGATGCGCCAGGCGGCCTCGCGGGCCCGCCCCTGCCTCAGTTTCCCCGTCCATCGCTGGGCCTGCAGCCCTTACCTGCTGCTCCGCACACGGGGCTGGCCGCCGCTCGTCTCCTCCCCGCCGCACCACGGGACTCGGGGTGCCGCGCCCCGGGGCCAAAGAGCGGGGGGCCGGGCGAGAGAACGGCGGCACCGCGCCATGGAGCGCCAGGTCCGGGGCGGCCCCCGGCACCGCCATGGCCCTGCCCCGCCGGGCGGAGCCGAGCGTTCCCGAGCAAAGCCGAGCGAAACCGAGCCCTGCCCGAACTCTACCGAGCCAGGCCGAGCGCTGTGGAGCTGAACCCGGGCTCTGCCGTGCAGTACCGAGCGCAATCCGAGCCCTGCCCGAGCTGCGGCGAGAGCCGCCGAGCCCTTGACGAACATTGCCGAGTCCTGACGAGCTGGGCCGAGCCCCGGCCGAGCCGAGCCGATTCCGCGGGCCGGGCTCCGCTCGGGCCCCGGCCGCTCTGTCCTTCGGGGCTGTGGTGCCGCGGGCTGCCGCCAGGCGGGGCCGGGACCGAGCGGGGCCGGGGCCGAGCGGGACCGGCAGAGCCGGGCGGGGCTCGGGCTGGGCCGGAGCTGAGCAGAGCGGCGGGGACCGGGACCTGTTTCCCCGCAGCAGCGGGGCTGGGGTCCCGCAGCCCCGCGCTGCCGCTCTCCTTCTCCAGCGGGAGGGGAGATGCTGCTTGCCCGCAGCCGCCTGGGGCTGCTGCTGCTCGGGGCGCTGCTCACTTTGCTCCTGTACCTGTGGCTCCCGGCCGCCCGGCGCTCGCGGCCTGACGAGGGCAGGCGGCCTTGGCGGGCGGCCAACGGCACCGTGCGGGCGGGGATGGCTGCGGGAGAGCCCCCCGTGTTCTACAGGGAGGTTCCTGCAGCAGCCGTGGGCCCCGGGAGGTGGGTCAGGGAGGTGGCTCGGCCCGCCGGCAGCCTGCAGGCATGGCAGACTTGCTGAGCCCCTTCCCGCCTGTCTTCCCGCAAGCAGGCCTGATGTCCTGTTCCTGCACGGCCAGGCGTTCACCTCCAAGACGTGGGAGGCCTTGGGCACACTGGCGCTGCTTGCTGCAGAAGGCTACCGTGCGGTTGCAATAGACCTGCCCGGTAGGACCACGGCACTGTGCTTAGCTGATCTCTTTGGGCAGCTCCAGTCCCTTGCTTAGTCACTGCTGGGCTCTGGATCTCTTTAGGGAGGGCTCTGGATAGCTGCTGGTGATTCCTAAGGCAGTGTGCCTGGGATTTGTCTGTATCCTGGGGCATTGGTGGCTGTGACTCTACAACCCTGGGGCTTGATCAAACGTCCATTTTTGGCTAAGCCATTGAACCCTGGTGAGGAGAGAGCATTGCAGGCTGCACAATGCCCCCTGACCACCCCATGCCCTCTTCCCCATACCAGGCTACGGGGATTCACCCCCAGTGGAGAAGGCGCTGACAGCACAGGGCCGGAGGGCTTTCCTGGACCACGTCCTGCAGGAGCTGGGCTTGCAGAGGCCTGTTCTCATCAGCCCCTCCATGAGCGGCCGCTTTGCCCTGCCCTTCCTCATGGCACACGGGGACCGGCTGGCCGGCTTTGTGCCCATCGCACCTGTGGGCACCAAGGACTACACTGCCGAGCAGTACCGGCGAGTCCAGGTGGGTTTTTGGGCTCTTGGGGCCTGTCCTGGGTATTGGCGAGCCTTGTGGGCCAGCTGGCTGCAGGGTGATGTGGAGGGTGGCATTATTTTGGGGTGAGTGAGGGGGACCTGTGACACCCAGCTCATGGGGGTGCACCTGCCTCCCCTCAGCTTTGCAGCACCCTGTGGTGATGTGGTGATGGATGGAGGTGGGCACAGCCCAGGGGGAGTGTGGTGGCCATTTACCCCTCTGACAGCTGCTCTTGTTTTCTCTCTCCCCTTACAAAGACACCCACCCTGATCCTGTATGGTGACCGTGACACTGGCCTGGCTCCCCAGGCCCTGCAGAACCTCCAGCACCTCCCTAAGCACCGTGTGGCCGTGCTGTCTGGTGCTGGCCATGCCTGCTACCTGGACAAGCCAGAGGACTTCCACCGGGCCCTGCTGGGCTTCCTGCACCAGCTGAAGTGAGCACTCCTCCCTGCCTAGCAGAAGGGCTGGGGCCTCCGAGGGACTGGGAGGCACAGACGGCTGCATGAGGGATGCTGTTCCCTCCTGGGGTATGCCCGGGATGGCGGGGGTGGGCCTGGAGGTGTCCCTTGCTGGCAGGACAGTGTCGTCTGTCACGAGGCCAATAAACTGATGCTGCTCTGTTTTCTGCGTGTGTCCCAAGCGCCGCGGGGCTCCTTCATCGCTCCGCCGCTAGTGCGGGGCCAGGAGGGTGCCCGGTGCCCGCTGCGTGCATCCCGCCCCTACTGCGCGCCCCGCTCCGGCCCTGCCCGGCCCTGCCCGCCGCTGCCGGTGGGGCGGAGCGGGGCGGGCAGAGCGGGGCGGGCGGGGGGAGCGGGGCGGGCGGAGCGGAGCGGGCGGGGCGGGGCGGAGCGGAGCGGGGCGGAGCGGGGCGGGGCGGAGCGGGCGGGGCGGAGGGAGGGGAGGCGGAGCGGGGCGGGGCGGAGCGGGCGGAGCGGAGCGGGGCGGAGGGAGGGGAGGCGGAGCGGGGCGGGGCGGAGCGGGGCGGGGCGGAGCGGGGCGGAGGGAGGGGAGGCGGAGCGGGGCGGGGCGGAGCGGGCGGAGCGGGGCGGGGCGGAGCGGGGCGGAGAGGGGCGGGGCGGAGCGGGCGGAGCGGGGCGGGCGGAGCGGGGCGGGCGGAGCGGGGCGGAGCGGGCGGAGCGGGGCGGGGCGGGGCGGGGCGGGGAGGGGCGGGGCGGGCGGAGCGGGGCCGGTGGGGAAGCGCCGGCGGCGGCAGCGCTGAGGTAGGGCCGGGGGCGGCGGGAGGCCGAGCAGCGGGGCCGGGCAGTAGCGCCCGGCACCCATGGGTGGGTGCCCCGGTGTCTTCGCCCCCCTTAAGCCCGGGCTAAGGTACCCTGCACCCCCTGCCCTTGCACCTTTCCTCTACTGCCCTGCACTCCCTCGCCGCACTGTTCTGCTCCCCTAGCCATGGTGCCTTGCACCCCCTGCGCTCCTGACCACAGTATCCAGCACCCCTCTGATCCAGCACCCCTCTGCCCTTCTGCCCATGCTGCGCCTTCACCCCAGCCCTAACCATGGTGTCCTGCCTGCCCTCTGCTTCACCCCGTACCCCCCTGATACCTCTGCACCCCACTGTGCCTCCTGCCTGCACCCCAGCCATGGTACCCTGTACCCCACCTGTGCCCCTTTGCACCCCCAGCCACCGTACCCCTGCACCCCTAACCACAGTCCCACTGCATCCCTCATAGCCTCTCTGCACCCCCTGCTCCCACAGCCCCTTCACCCCTCCTGCTGAACCCCCACATCCCCTAAGCACCCCACATCCTCCTGCTCCTCCAGCCACCCAGCTTCCCTCAAACAGCTCCCACAGTACCCTGTCACTGTAATGTGGTCCCCCAGTACCTCTATCCTCTTTAACACTCAATCCCCCTTCACTATCCCCATTTCCCTGCAGCCCCAGGGCCTTTCCTTGCAGCTCTCCTGCACCCCCTAGCCAGGCAGTAACTCCCTTTCCCTACCTGTACCCCCTTACACCAGCATCCTGCCTTCCCTGCCTGCATCCCCCAGCATTCCCACAAACCTCTAACCCTTGGATAATCCCAACTACCATGTCTCCCTCCCCAACATACCCTTCTTCCGCTTTATCCTTCTTCATACTCCCTCACCTAGTTGCCCCCTTTCCTCCTAGCTAGGCCTTCCCTGGATTTCACCCCTTGCCTGGGCATCATAGCCTGTCCTGTCACTGTATTTGGGGCAGGAACATGTGTTTTAGGGGAAAAATGACAGGCCAGTGTTGGGAGCGCACCCCATGTTGGGGGGATTTCTCCCATGGTGGCAGAGTCCCGGGAGTCGCATGGGGGAGACCTTTGTCCCATCTCCCCTTGGTTTCTGTGACGACCAAGCATGCAGGTGGACTTTGGAGGGGCTGGTGGGTGATTAACCATCTTGCAGCTCTTTCCCCAGAGCTTTGCAGCCCTGGTCCCAGACATGGCACCTGGGAAGCCTGGGAAGAGCACAGGGGCCTCAGAGAACCCCTCAGTTACACTTTTCCGGGAGTACCTGAAGATTGACACTGTCCACCCTAAACCTGACTATGGTGAGGATGGGGAGCCAGGATCGGGAGCCGTGTGGGGACTGGGTAATGCAGCTTTGCAGCTCCAATCTTTGGACTCAGGTGCCCAAGTGCTGTACTGGGGCTGTTTTGATTGTGGTGTTAAGGAGCAAACTCCTTTGTGCCTTATCTCTGCTGGTGTCTTTGGTTGGGGCAGGGCTGTCTCAATCAGAGCTATTGTTTGCTTCTTCTAGCCTCGTGCCCCTTGCTCCCCTTTCCGTGCTGCCTTCTGTGTAGATCTCCTTCTGTTAACATTTATGTCTTCCCACTAAAGTACATTTTTTTTTGTGAGAAGCTCCCTAAACTCCTCTGGAGAAACATTCCCCCTGAACTCACCCTAATTCAATTTTTATTTTTTTCGTATTTCCCAAGTCCTCACTCCAAAGGGATGGTGATGAGTGGCTCCCGTCCCTGTTCATGGCCACTTCTTGTGTCCAGGTCCTGCAGCACCTGTCCTCTTTTGTCACCTCTTTCCTTGTTCTGGGAACGCTGCAGAGCCTTGGGGTCCCTGGGGGTTTGCAGTGAGAGACCCCAGTGTAACCGTGGGCATCCCTACTCTTCCCCAGACGCAGCTGTCCGGTTTCTGGAACGTGTTGGCACCGACCTGGGCTTGGCCTGCCAAAAAGTGGAGGTGAGCAAGCCAAGAAGCAGCTTTAGTCTGTCCACCCACCCATCCATCCATCTAGCCACCTGTGCTCGGGTCCTTAGTGACCAAGATGTTCCTCTGCCTGCACCCAGGCAGAGCTAGGCAGGAGTGAATCCCCTCTGCCTGTAATCCTCTGCTGACCTGAGCCCTTCCTTAAGCCGATGGTCCGGCTGCTCCCTGCTGACCTCTGCAGCTGCCTGTGCTGTGATTAGCAGGGGACCTGGCAGCGTCACGTTGGCTGGGCCATCCTTCCTGCTGGGTACTGGCTGTCCTGGGAGACTCCTGGGCACCAGGGGAAGATGCTGGGTTTGTCTTCCCTCCTCTGAATTTCCAGCCAGGTTTGGCACCTGCAGGTCTGGCTGCAGGTCTGCTCCTGCTACCTGGGCTCTCCCACTGGAGAAAGGGGTGGCATCCAGAAACTTTTTCCAAGCTGTTGCTTTTTGGCTCCAGCTTGCTGGTCCAAGCCTTTCTGTCTCCATTCTGCTGGTGACATCCTGCCTTCGTCCCGCAGGTGTGCCAGGGCCGTGTGGTGCTGATCCTGACCTGGCAGGGCACGAACCCCCGCCTGCGCTCCATCCTTCTCAACTCCCACACTGACGTCGTGCCTGTCTTCGAGGTGCTGAACAGAGCGAGGGGTGGGAAGGGCATGGAGAGGAGGACGGGGTGGATGGGAGCTGGTGCCTTCTGTGCCCTTCTGCCATCGTGGACACTCTTCCCTGCAGGAGCACTGGACCTACCCACCCTTCGAGGCAGTTAAAGACTCGCAAGGCAACATCTATGCCCGGGGTGCCCAGGACATGAAGTGCGTCTCCATCCAGTGAGTGGAGGGCTCTGCACCTGCTGGGTGAGCACGGTGCTGCTGGTGTCTCTGAGTGATGCAGGACAGGATGCCACTATCCCCAGGGTCCCAGGGGCCAGAGGTGCCACCTCTGCCCTGAGGTGGCTCAGAGCACACAAGCCCCTCTCCTCCACAATGACCGTGCACTACCTTCCCTTGCAAGGTACCTTGAGGCCATCCGGAGGCTGAAGACAGAAGGGAAGTCTTTTGCCCGCACCATCCACCTCACCTTTGTGCCTGGTGAGTCCCCAGCTGTCCCCTCTCAGGAGGTACAGAAGGGGCTGGCAGCTGGGTGTTGCTGTGGAGTCCCCCACGGCAGCCAGGCTCCCCCGATGTTGACCTCCCCTAGCTCAACGCCAGAGAGGTTTCCATGTCCAAGGACATCAGGTGTGCTGATGGCATCCAGGCTGGCACGGAGGGAGGACTAGAGGTGGTGGGCTGGGGGATGCCCCAGTTCCTTCCTCTATGCCAGGCTCTCCCCCACAGATGAGGAGGTGGGCGGACACAAGGGCATGGAGATGTTCGTGCAGCGTCCTGAGTTTAAAGCACTCAACGTGGGCTTTGCCATGGATGAGGGTGAGTATTGGTAGGGCTGGCACTGGCATGTGTCTCCTCCTGGCATCACTCCCCAGGCACCAGCATCCCATATGCTTCCAGGGACCCCCTTTTGGGATCCTTCCCCTGGGCAGTGGGGAGTGCCAGTCTGGAGGAAAATGCTGCTAGGACAGAGCAGAGGGGGCACATCATGGTACCTCCATGTCGCACTGACCCTCTGTCTGTGCCCACCACAGGCCTGGCCAGCCCATCTGACACCTTCAGTGTCTTCTATGGTGAGAGGAGCCCATGGTGTGAGTATCTGTGTGTCCACTGCCCTGTCCTTGGCTCTCCTGGGTGCTGGGGCACTGATGCTATCCCAGGCTTTCTGCTCAACCCTTCCCTCTACACCTACTGCTGCAGGGATAAAGGTGAAGTGCATGGGTAGCCCTGGGCATGGGTCCCGCTTCATCAGCAACACAGCGGCTGAGAAGATGGTAAGAGAGGGGGTACCTCCTTTGCACCCCCCGTGCCTGCCCTGGCTGCCAGGCCCCTGCCCACGGGGCTGGTCCTCACCTGCTGCCCTTCCCTCCCCAGCACAAAGTCATCAACTCCTTCCTGGCCTTCAGGGAGAGCGAGAAGCAGAGGTAGGAGATGGGCAGCAGGATGGCAGTGGCTTAGTTCAGTCCATGAAGGGGCCTTTGGGATCTGGTGCTGCTGCTCTGTGCCTCAGTTTCCCCATTTTGGGTGACAGCATGGTAGGGAAGCGCTTCTCCCCAGGTGGCAGATAGTGACTGTCCCTTGCATGCCCCAAGGCTCAAGTCCGACTCAAGCCTGACCCTGGGGGATGTCACTTCTCTCAACATGACCATGCTGGAGGGGGGTGTCTCCTTCAACGTGGTGCCCTCCGAGATGGCTGCCAGCTTTGACATCCGCATCCCACCCACCGTGGACCTGAAGGTGGGCACCGTGCCAGCCCCACCCAGGAGAGGTCTGGCATGAGGGTGACCTGCTCACACCCCTCCTCTGGTCTCTGCCCCAGGCCTTTGAGGAGCAGGTGACCACATGGTGCCGTGATGCTGGGGAAGGTGTCACCTGTGAGTTCCACCAGGTGAGGGATCTCAGCTGCCTGGCATATCGTGGCTGTCCCTCTCCTGCCAAATGCCACCTCCTCGCCCCTTCATCTGCCCTCTCCCTCTTGTCAGAAATGCATGGACCAACACATCACCTCCACTGAGGAGTCAGACCCATGGTGGAAGGCCTTCAGTGGGGTCTGTAGGGACATGTAAGTACTGTCTCTAGGAAGGGCAGGACCCTGGCAGGGACATCTCTGGTTGAGGCCAGGTGGTCCCTGGGGGTCTATGAAGTCACATCAGGGGCTGGGATGGCGAGCCCTGTGATTTGCCAAAGCATGTCCCTGTTGCCCTCCAAAAGGGATGGGACTGAGTGTCCTGCAGGGCTGAGGGATGTCCTGGCACAGTCTCGTTGCCCATGGGGTGTGAGTAGGACAGGGGACTCGCTGGCCCTGTGTCCATGCTGACACAGGGTCTCTCTTGACAGGAAGCTGCAGCTCAAGCTCGAGATCTTCCCGGCTGCCACCGACAGCCGCTACATCCGAGCGGTGAGTGTGATGCCAGATGCCACAGGTCCCTCACCTGGGGTGAGACCTGCGGCCCCAGCAGGAGCTGTGTCCAGATGAGAGGGGGTGTGTGGTGCCATGCTAGCTCTGACCTCACTCTGTGTCTCCCCATCTCCAGGCAGGACACCCTGCTATTGGCTTTTCACCCATGAACCGCACCCCGGTGCTGCTCCATGACCACAATGAGTTCCTGAACGAGCAAGTCTTCCTGCGGGGCATCGAGATCTACGCCCGCCTCCTGACTGCCCTGGCCTCAGTGCCCCCGCTGCCCACCGAGGGCTGAGTGCCTGGCGAGGGGCAGGGAGTGCCAAGCAGAGACCCAAGGCTTTAAAAAGAGGGGCAGGGGCTGGGCAGAGCAAATACCTGCTGCGGTGCTGGGGATGTGACACCCGCAGGGTTGTGTCCTCCTTGGCCATGTGCCAGCAGAGCCTCATGCCCAGGTGCCTCCAGCCTTCCTGGTGTTGTCAGTGCCTCCCCCTTTCTCTGTGCCATCTCTGGCTGCACTGGCTGGGTGGTGAGGGGCTGGCCAGTGCCCCATTCTGTCTCCCCATGCCTTGCCCTGCCTCCCTGCCCGCTTGCTGGGGGAGATGATGGGCCAGTGCTGCCCACTCTCCCTATCAATAAATCTCCTCGGTAAGCACAGCCTGGAGTGGGGCAGTCTGTCTGTCTGTCTGTCCATGATGGTGCTACCCAGGCACTGCGGATTTCCTGGTGCAGTGTGGTTTGCTGGGATGCATCTGCTCCCCTGGGCTCGTTGGCTGCATGACAGCAGTGCGGGCAGGATCCTGCCCGGGCAGGCTGAGGGCCTCTGCTCCGATCAGCCTGGGGGGCCTGGCGCTGGGGCTCATCCTGCTCCTCTCTCCTTCCCTCCAGAGCTTTTGCTGCTTCCACGGACCCTCTGGTCAGGGCAGGCAGCGTGCAGGTCTGGGCAGGCACCACCTGCCCGAGCTGCCATCGGCTGCACCTCCTCCTTGCTCGTTCCCAGCCCTGTGTGGCTCCCACGCCCCGGGGTGTGGGATCTGTCCCAGCCGTGCGGCTTCTTGGGGAAACCAAGGGCCCGCTGAGCCAATTGGGGGGGTTTTACACTGCTCAGGGAGACTTCCACAGCTGCTCTATTACAAAAGGATGGGGGTGAGACCGGGGCCTCCAGCCTCCTGACCTCTGTTTTAATTAAGAAAGCTGCTGGAACCCTTGGGGGGCTGGGGATAATGAAGATGTCCCATGCTGGGCTGGGAGAAGAGACGAGGCTGGTGGTGATGATGCACTGAGGGAGAAGCAACCAGCTCTCCACTCCTTCCCCTCCATCCAGTGCAGGAGGAAGTCCAGCATTTTTGGATGCAGGACACACTTGCTGTGTGATGAGTATCCCAGGGGAAGCTGGCGTGGATTCTCTGAGGTCTCATATAACCACATCCCATGACCCGGCAGCCCTGGGGGAGGATGGCATGGGAGAGGTGTGGGTACCGTGGGGTCCTTGCTGGCCAGGATCCTTGCCCAGGGTGTTGGCACCTTTGCAGCCCTGCCCTGTCGGTGTGCCAGGGCTACCTGTGGCATCCTATGCCCCCCTCGACCCTACTCAGTCCCTTTCCCAGCTGGCCTGCTGTCCCCAGCTTGCCTGGCACTGAGCTGGGACCTGGCAGCTATGTGCTTGCTGATGCTTGGAGATCACCCCACGCTGAGCATCCTGCTCGGGATGCTGGTCTGTGTGCCCTCTCCTAGCTCCTACCCGAGCTTCATTCTCTCGCTGCCCATCCTCAGGGATGAGCCAGAGCCGCTGGGAGGGTCACTTCTGGGGAAGGGGACTGCAGTAAGGTCTAAAGCTTTGCTGGCAGGGGACATTTTGGGGTGTAGGGTCACTTCTGGGGAAGGGGACTGCAGTAAGGTCTAAAGCTTTGCTGGCAGGGAACATTTTGGGGAGTGCGGCGCTCTCAGAGTCCCCCCGGGAGATGGGGCCGTCCCCCCGCGCATCCCCTTCGCCCAGGGACGGGGCACGGCCGGGCCGGGGCGGGTCGGGGCGGGCCGGGGGCGGTCGGATGTCGGCCCCATAAAAGCTCGGTGCCACCGGCGGCCGAGGGCGCGGCGGCGGCGGGATGCGGGCGGCGGTGGCGGTGGCGGTGTGGCTGTCGCTGTGCTGGCTCTGGGCGGCGGGGCACAGCCTGCCCCGGCTCCGCCTGTCCTACCGCGGTGAGCCGGGCCGGGGGCACCTGCTGCGGGCCGGGGAAGGGGGGCTGTCCCCGGGGGGCTGTGGCGGTGCGGTTGGTGGGCAAATTGTGCTGGGCTCGGGCTGGGCTGGGTTTCGTGGGTGCCTTCCACGCGGGACGTAGGGCCCCCCGAGGAGGAGGAGAAGGAGGAGGAGAGGAGCCGGGTGAGGGGACAGGGGATGTGCCACCGGGTGACGGGGACAGGGGATGTGCCGCCGCCAGCCCCGCCGCTTCCCGTGGGGGATCGTCTCCCCCGCGGCGTGCAGGGAAACTGAGGCACGGCGGCGTTCCGGCCCCGGCACGCTTTGGCTCGTGTGCCGGGTGGGTGCTGCGCTGCGTGGGTGGTACCCCGGCCTGGTGGGTGCTCAGCATCCTGCCCTCGGCTGCGTGGGGGGGTCCCCGGGCTGCCCCCTCCGAGCCCCGCGGCGCTGGGGTGCGGGTGCCGGGGCCCCTCGGGGCTGCGGGGGCAGTGCTTGGTTTTAATTAAAACTCTCCCTGTGATCCTGCTCTGGCTCGCCGCATCCCCCGCTCTGCCAGCCTAATCCACGGGCTGCTCCAGCCAAACTTGACAGAGCCTGGGGTGCCCCAATCTCCTTGCGGCCTCACAGCAATGAACCTGCTCTAAAAAATTCAACATAAAATAAATTGCACAATGTATATCTTCCCCCTTCCTTCCCAGAAGGGGGAACGACCTCGGCAGCCCAGCACTTCAGAGCCCCGGAGCTGTAGTGCCAGGGAGAGTCTGCTCCTCTGCTGCCTGGGCTGGGGGTTCCTGGCTTTGGCTGCATCCTTTGCTCTGTCCTGGGGCACGGCAGGTGACCCCAGGGGCTGCCTTTCTGTTGAAAGGGAAACTGAGGCACACAGTGCCCCCCCTCCCCTCATCCTGGGAGCCCGGGATGGCTCATGGCTCTGCCCCATGATGTGATCCAGTGTCCTCAGGTTGGCCTTTGCAGCAGGGAGAGGAGATCTGGGGTCTCAGCCGGGGTGAATCGTGGGGCTCAGTGTCTGGCTCAGTGTCTGATACACTCCAGCACAAAGTCCAGGCGTGCAGGGCCGTTTCCCAGGTGCGAGGAGCTGCCCGGGGCGGGGTGAAAGCTCCTCAGCTTCCCACGGAGAGCGAGCCACCTTTGGAAGCTTCTTTTTTTTTTTTCTCCCTTTTTTTTTTTTTTTTTTTTCCCCTTAAGCTGGTTATTCCATTCGTCTTCCAAATTGGAAACAGCAACTGAAATTTCCCATGAAAAAAATTCTGCCACCGCCTTCTCCCCGGGGGAAGAAAAAAAAAAAAAGAAAATTTCAATTAAAGACGTTAGAGTCTCGGAAATTAAAACCATGGTGAGCTGAAGCTGTTTGTGCAGAGCTCCTCGACCTGGGCTCTGCATGGCTGCTGGCTCTGGCTGTGAGGTGAGTCTGTGAGGTGACAGGGACAGGGCGTTGTGCTGTGGGTGCAATGCTGGCCGTGTACCCAGCTCTCCCTCACACTTCAAGCCACCCTTTTCCTTTTGTTTCGACTTCCAGAGGTGGCTCATGTGAGAGGGAAAAGAGCATTTTGCTGTTGTGAGGACCAGAAGCATTGCCCTGTGCTCTTTGCTGTCCCTCCCAGGTCCCCCACCCTGGGGAAAAGGTGTCCCAGGGATGGATGGGCCATGGCAAAGGGCTGTTCCCTGGGGAGCTGGAGAGGAAGGCGCCCTGAGCCGGTGTAACCTGAGGCGCAGGAGGAATTTGCCAGGTCTGGGGGAGAAGGGGAAGCCTTGCCTGAAACAATAAAAGGAGCCTGCCGACTTTGTCAGTGTTGTTTTGAGCTGGGAAAATATTACTGCTGGGCAAGAATAGAAGGAGACGACAGCGTTTTCCTGGGCTGGACCTGGCAATATGAGAGGACCTGATGCTGGGAGGACACAGGGAGGAGGGTGCCAGACTGGGTGGAGGGACCACCACTGCCTGGAGCAAGCTCTGCTTGCAAGCACAGGCACCTTGCAACGCCCGTGGGATGGAGCATTGGGGATGGAGGGATGGGGCTGCAGCCGAAGGTGTCTGTTGTCCCCTGCTGGGGATGGGCCTTGCCTCTCTTGCAGGGCCCAGAATTCGTTTCCCAGAAGGGGGCATTATGTCGCTGGCCACCTCCTTGCTGGAAGTGACAAATGTCCCCCCAGCAGCAGCAGGACTTGGTAGCCCAGTGTCCTGACTGGATTTGTCCCAGCACCACCTCCCCTCTTCTGGGGACATATGTGGGAGATGTTTGGGCTGGGTTTTTCCCTGGGGTCAGCAGCAGTGGCTGGCACTCTTCCGGGCTGGAGGGTGTTTGGGGACAGAGCTGTGCTCATCAATGGTGCTTTGTCCTCCTCCTTTGTCTGGCAGGCGCAGAGGCCTGGCCTGGGGTCAGGATGGGTTCTCAGAGCCCTGTGAAGCTGAGCCATTCCCTCTGGCCCTCTCCCTCTGGCAGCTGTGGCAGCTCTGTGGGCACCACTGTGCCGGCTTGATGACCCTGAAAGTAATTTCCCACTGGAAACCAGTCGAGCCACTGCCCATGTGTTGTCTTCACTGTGAGGGCCCCCTTGGCATTGCACAAGATTCAGGCTTGGACTTGCTCTGGGGGCTTTGACTGCCAGACGCTGTTGTTTGGGATGTGATGTCCATCCCAGGGATGCAGCCTGTCCATCCCTGGGATACCCCCATACTGCTGTCTCTCCCCAAGTGCCTTGTCTATCCCATGGAGGAAGCCTTCCTGCCAGTGAGTTTTGGTGGCAGAGGCAGCAGTGGGCTTTGTGTGGCAGTTTCCCCATGGCACTGGCTGGGTGCCTGCTTTGTGTCCTTGGCTGGCACCCAGCAGGGACAGGACCTGCTTTCTGCCCACCCCGTGTCCGGTCTCACCACCATCCCAGCTCTGGGTGAGCCCAGCTTGTTGTGGCACAGCCACAGTAGGAGTCTGGGGGTGGTTCAGCCAAACCTTGCTGGGGGTGTCAACCTTTCCTGGGACCCTATTGCTGATTGTTGGCTCTGCAGCTTTGTCCTTGGCTGGCAGGGAGGACAGCACTGCAGCCAGGTTGAGGGTGGGATGTCCATGCCTCCAGGAAGGGATGGAGACATGCTGCAGTCTGGAGTGGCTGTGAGCAGCTCCATGATACTTGGAAGCAGCAGCTCAGAGGAACCCTTGGGGCTGGGATGGCTTCTGCTGATGCTTTCATCTCTTCCTGGCAGAGCTTTTAGGCACCAACCGCTCCGTCCTCTTCTTTGGTCGCCGCGGCTTCCTGGGCTTCCGCTCCCTCTACCTGGATGAGTACCGTGACCGGCTCTTCATCGGGGGGAAGGATGTGCTCTACTCCCTGCTCCTGGATGGGGCCAGTGCAGATGCCAAGGAGGTGAGCTGGGTGCTGATGAGCATCCTGGGGTGTCTGTCCCCATCCTGGCCCCCTGTGGACCTGCCTGTGCCCAACTAGGCTGGAC